AAGGATCAAGTAAGTAGTTACATATCTTTTAAGTTCATTCCTTTCTTTCCTAGATTCAGGCTTTGGCCCAATAAACACAAGAGAAGCATGTATTAGCCAGTGATTCAGACTCAAAGGCTATTGCTATTTTACTCGGGTATACTGATCCATTTGGTTCCTTCGTGGCTTTTGGTTGGAAAAGACCCTTGATTTGCCTTCATCTTCGCTGTTGATGTTTAGACAATGAGTTTGGCCACAGGCATAAACTTTGCAAGACCTGTTTGTCTTTTTGTTTTTAACTTCAATTAAAGTAGAATTTCAAGTGTAAGTAATAGGTTGAAAGCATCTACCAGACACCAGGCACCTTACATTTCCTACTCAATCTTCCCAGTTATCCAAAAGACAGAATACAATCATAGTGTTACCTCACAGTCAAAGCTTTCATTGATGTTGTTGTGTTTTATTTTGTTTAGATACAGATCTTTTCTTTAATGGCTTAGCAGTCCATAAATCCAGTTATGGAAGCTTATCTAGAACTTGTGGCTTGGCTTGTAAAGGGAGCCACTACGTTAGTTGCCCCACTGGAAAAAGAAAAGAAAAAGCAGGTTCTTTTACTCACAAACAGCCTTCCCTTCCTTCTCTCTTGTGCCTGGCTCCCTAGTCATGAGTGCCTAGGAGCAGCAGGTATCTCTGGTGGCCAGCAGGTTCTGCAGAGATGTGTTCTGGAAGCCTATGATCCTGAGAGCTGACACTGGCCCAGGCAAGCTTGTAAGCTTATAAGCTCAGGAAATTCTCTCCGCCTGTTTGTCCACACATTTTTGTAAATTTTCAGGGTGCTGAACTCATTAGAGAGACTGTATTTAGCCCAAAACATTTTTGGTTGCCCACCCAGACATGCCAAGATTGCAGAGTGGCCCAAATCCAAATGCAAAAGCAGTATGGCTATTAGGGAAGTGCAAGTCGGGGGAGATGATTAGATATTAATAGAGCTGCTTTTTGAAAGAGGAGGCTGTTTTCCTTTGCTCACTGGGTAACTCCCTGGATGCTGCAAACTACTTCAGCAAGAAAAAAAGCATCTGGGACAGTTGTAGGCATGAAGAACATTAGTAACAAACATGATAATAAGTTCCGTGGACTGAATGCATCCTTCTGTGCTCTGTACTCACACGTGCTACACATGGGATTCTTAACGTTGCTCTTGCCTGGCAGAAAATGATTTTGTTGCTACCTGGAAAGAGAACAGAGGCATATAAAACTTTGAGTTCAGTCATTTTCTCACGGTCACCTGGGCCAGGGTTGGCAACGCTGGGGTTTGAAACTTGCCCTCGGTAACCAGAAAGATTGCCAGGCATTTCTGTTTACAGCTTGCGCGCGATGTAACACACGATTTGCACCACTCCTCTTTCCTGCGTGTTTCGTGTTCTTCCTGAGCCCTGAAGAAAGATCTTTCTAGGCCTCTTACATCTTCCTCATGGCCAGCGCAGGATGTGGTTGCTTGCTGCCTCTTTTCGCCGCTGATTTCCCTCTTGCCTTTTACGGCCTTTACCTTCAGGAATCATCATTTCTACCCAAAGAATCTTACATTCTAACTACCTGCCAATAGATTTATTTCTCAGTTCTTTAAAAGAAGAAAATAGGACTGGGGAGATGGCTCAGTGTATAAAATGCTTGTTTAGGAGTGTGAGCACTGGGGTTTGGGTCCAAGGTCATTCCACAGAGTTTATCCTGTCTTGAGTCCTAAACCTGAAAGGACAACGTGGTGGTTTGTTAGACTCCAGCATGGTCCAAGGGAAAACTCACTATTCCAGAATCAAAGGCAGAAATTGGGGTGATAGAAGGGGAAGTTGAGGGCAAGGGGAGGAAGGAAGAAAAGAGGATTGTACAGCATAGCTCATTGACACATGATGATGAAAATAAAAAGCTCTCAGGAAACCAGAGGGCTGGGAACAACATCACCAGCCTGCAGGGAGTTGTAAGAATTACAAGAGATAAAGGAAATCCGGTACGGTGGATCATGCCTGCTATCCCAGTGTTTGGGAGGATGAAGCAGGAGATGACTGCAAGTTCAAGCCTGGACTACGTAGTTAGATCCAGGTATACAGAGGGAGACCTCAAAAACAGTCAAAAGAGATATCAGAGAAAGGGCTCTTTGAAGCATGGAGGAGTGTGTGTTTGAGGAGTTTTCCCAGATTTCTTCCTGTTGCAATCATCACTACTTCTGTGGAGACTCCTGACCTCTAATAACATTTATTTGGTTTTCTAAAGGTTTTTATAGAGTAGGCTTACTTGACTGAGGTCAGGAGCAATACTGTGGTAGAGCTGAGCGGCTGCCCTCCTGTAGACGTAGGAATGCCTAGACAGTCTGAGAGCTGTTGTTGACCTGAGCAGCTCTGAGCTCAGAGGATTCCATCCTCACACGCACACAAGCACACACACACATGCACGAATGCACATATGCGCGTGCAAATCTTAACTTGCAGGCCCTCACCGGAGCAGGGCTATTTAGTATTTCTATAGCACACTCCTTCCAGAAAGTTCACAGTACGAGTCAGCCTGTAATGTAGTGACATTTAAAATCTTCTGTATCGACTGAGAACGCAGTTATCCCTAGATATAGTCAGGATTAACCCCAGTGCCATGCTCTTGATTCATTTTATTTGTTGTTTTATTTTATTTGTGTTTGTGTGAGTGTGTTGTTTTGTTCATTTGAACAAGGTTTCATATACCCTAGGCTGGCCTCCAACTCGATATGTAATATTTAGCACTACACTTGGCAGTTTTATTGTTGGTTTGGGTTTTGGAGAGGATTGTTGTTTGTTTATTTGTTTGAAACAAGGCCTGTCTATGTAGCCTTGGCTGTCTTGGAACTTACAATGTAGACCAGGCTGGCCTTGAATTCACAGAGATCTATCTGCCTCTGTTCCTGAGTGTTGGGATTAAAGATATGAACCAACATGCCCAGTCCTGTTTGTTTTGAGACAGGGTCTTGGCAGTGTGTAGCTAAGGCTAAACTCTTGTCTCAGTTCCTCTGTTCTGGGATTACAGGTGATTGCAACCTGCAGGCCAGTGTTCCTTTAATGAAGACACACTTGTTTGTCTGCTTGGGTTTTGTGTGTGTGTGTGTGTGTGTGTGTGTGTGTGTGAGCTTTATTATTTCAATACTAGATATCAGATATAATGCCTTGGAGATTGTTTTTTTTTTATAACAAGGTTTGGGGTCTTCTTGTGCAACACACACACCTGAATTCTAGTATTATAGGAAAAGAGTATACTGAAAAGAGCTTATTAAAAAGAAAATCCGCAGGTCTCAGATCATGCTAACTTAGCTGGGAGGAGGGGGGGGGTAGGAGATAAGGGATGGGTTTGAAGAAGCGAAGCTGTCAACAGTGAGTCGTTAAGAATGCCAGTGCTGAAGGCTGGAGGGTAGCTCAGTGAAAGACCACATACTCAAAGCTCTGAGTTCAGTCTACACCCACACACACGCACAAAAACACACGGACACACACGCACATACACACACACACCAAAAAAAAAAAAAAAAGACACTGTTGTGAAAGCCACATGGCTGATGCCTGGTACATGCTTGAGAATTTGGACTCGTCGTTTAACTAAGATGAGCAGGAAAATGTATAAAATAAGAATTGTGGCTAAACTGCAGAACTGGTTAACAGGATTAGGCATGAGAAGCTCAGCAGCTTCTCAAGGCAAAGCAAGTGCGGAAAACCCCAGAGAAGTAGTGTTGTTGTTGGCCGTGGTAGGCAGGGCTGTTCTCTGTTCTATTATTGGACTTCTGCCCATTACGGGACTTCTCTCTGGCTAACTAGTGGTGAGGTGTTTGCTCTTTTCAGTCGTCATAACAAGGAACTGCTATGAGCAGCTGGCGAGCAAGAGGCCAAGGTCTAAACAGTGCACACAGCAGCTCCCTACAATGGAGTATTATCTACTCCTGAAAATGTACAGTGCTAATTGAAAAATCCTGGAAAATGAGTGTGAAGCTACTACTCTGTGGAAGCTGTGTCACAGTAGTAGCTACTCACCCCTGGAAAGGTGGGTAGCAGTGACTGGGCTCCAAGATGTGTCTGGTTGTAGAAGCCATCTCTGATATCCTGGAATTCCTTTCTAAAGGTAACTCAAATTTGAAGTTGTTCCTTTCTCCATGTCTATGACAAGCAAAAGTGATCTCAGATCAAACAAAGTATTATGCAACTGTGCTCTGTGTTGTTAAATAGTTTCTGCATCCACGTAAAGCTTCATCTTGTCTTCCTGAACGCTTTTCTTTCCTTTTGTTTTGATTATAAAATAGCACTGAGTTTGGCCTGGCATGCTACTCTGAAGGCATTTTAGAATCAAAGTAGGAAGCTTTCAGAAGTTCAAACATCTCTCTCCAGAAACAAATGTGCAGTCAGAATAGCATGGTGCCTGGACAGATCCAAAAGCAATCTATTAAGGTGCTGAGATCCGGATTTCCTAACCTACTGATCTATAATTTGTCTGCCCCAAACCACCTAAAGCTAATCACCGATCCAAATTATCCACAATTGAGAATGTCACTTCAAAACCACTGTTTTTATTATACATAAAATTTTAAGAACACTGTTGCTGTCGCCATAATTAAGAGAAAAATATTTCTAATCAGTCTGTCTGCACCAAACGATTGTGTGTACTCATGCCCCTGTGTCTTCATGCCCCTGTCGTCTTGGATGCATGACTCTATCCCCACGAATATATCACTCGCTTTCCAATGGCCAATGATCCTGATGTCATCATTGCCAGGGTTGGTGACTCTTCACCTGAGTTTTACTTGAACAGAATTTTGGAAGACTGGGTCATAAACTCCACTAATGAAACCAAGATCGCTGGGGAGGGGGCACTTCGTCATCAGAGTTTTCTATTGCTCTCCAGGTGATCCCACTGCACAGACAAGATAGCAGCCACAGTCCAAGACACTCCGTTACGAGGAGGAGTGGAGACAAAACACCCAAGTGAACTTTACAATGTGGTTATCCCTTGTCTTTTCTTAGTTGTTTCGGCATGGAGACCGGAGTCCCATCAGCACCTTTCCTAATGACCCCATCAAGGAATCCTCGTGGCCACAAGGATATGGCCAACTCACTCAGGTTAGTTTTACCCATTTTGTGGTTATTTTGTATTTTTGAGGCATAGGCTAGCCTTGAACTACTTATGTAGACAAGAATGACTTTGAAAATCCTCATCCCCCTCCTCCTACCTCTCAAGTACAGATTCCACATGTGAGCCATAGCTTTGGTTAAATTTTTGAGTGAAGGACAAAACATGTACAGAATTTTCTGTTTTGATGTATTTATCCTGATGACTGTATTTAAGTGTTGAAAGGTTTCTGTGGAGATTGTCTAGAGACATGTTAAAAAATAACAAGGATGCCTTGTTTAATTGGCTTAGAGCATGGACTGGGCGTTAGGATGTTTGGAAAGTCCTCAGCTGTTTGCCTGGTTTTAATGTTCAGCCAAAGCTGAGAATCACAACCCTAACCAACCATCAGGTTTTATATAGATTAAAACTCAGAGAAACTATGGGAAGCCAGTATCTACTGCTTCAGAAGCTTAGAGCCCTTCCCACCGTAGCCTAGCCTAACCATCTTTCTATCTAATGAGAGGACATCACAAAGATTCATAGATTGCATAGATTGTTTTTGGGTTTTTTTGTTTTGTTTTGTTTTTGTTTTTAGCATAGGGCTTCTGGTTATTTGCTATGCTTTTCTAGTGAGATCAAAAGATTTTTGAGGACCATGAGGTCCAGATTCAAAGTTAGAAGTCTCTTAAGTAGCAATCAGATTGCAAGAGTGAGCTGTAAGTTAGAAGACAGTGGCTCGGGCAGTGGAACAGCAGTGTTCCTTCCCAACAGCCATCCTCATCTTTGATGAAAGGTAACAGTAGAGACGCCTCCAAGTGATAAGCAAATAAGCGAGTGTGGGCAAGCAGTAGCTTCAGTGACTACATCCTCGGTGACTGTGTGTCTCTGGTAAGATGCTCTGTAATGACTTCAAGCCTAAATGCAATGCTTCTCAAAGCATGGCACGCTGTTCCCTAGGCTGGAACCATCTGGGGTCCTTGTTAAAACAGATTCCAGGTATCCAAGGTACAGAGAGCTAGCATCTTAGAGGGAGATGCCGAGGAATCTGAGTTTCAACAGATGCCTCTGGATACTTTTATTTTAGCCCACCAATGCTCAAGGACCACTAAGCTAAGGTTGACCTGGGTGACACACCAGATTCTCTGCGAGACATGGTTAAAAACAGATTTTGTGGGGCTGCCTGGTTATAAGTGCTTGCTGTTCTGGGAAATGATTCAGATCCAATCCATGGCACCTATACGGTGGCTCACAGCCACCTGTAATTTAGGGGATCTGGTGCCTTCTTACGACCTCTGTGGGCATCAGACATACATGCGCTGTGCAAACACACATGCAGGCAAAACACTCATAAAGTTTCTAGCTCAGGACACCAAAAGTAGGGCCCAAGAACTTGATTTCTAACATGCTACCAGGTGATGCCACCTCTGCTGATCTGCAGACCGCACTTGGAGTAACAGGCTCTATTATTATTATTATTTTTTTTTTTTTTTAATGAGCCAGCCATAGATAGACTGTGAATGTAGCAAATTATTCTGTTTACTACAAGGCTGTAAGGGACCCTCAGATTCAGCACACTCCACTTAATCAGATAGCTGGTCTTCATTCACAAAAACCCCTACAAGGTGGTCAGCCAATCACTCTGAACGTTCCACCCACACAGATCCCAGAACCACACCCGAGATGAGTTTTTTTACCTAGGTAAATCGCCAGCTATCAACTGGACATGTACTGTACACAAGCCTCTGCACTGTGTGCTGACAAAGATGAATACGTCTCCTCAGGGAGTCCTGACTAAAGTACCTGTTCTCTCTTGTCTTAGTGTAAATAGATGGTTTTCTTGTGGAACTGTGGTGCACAGCTTGTTCATGTCAGAAATAACAAGAAAAGGCACAGTTCCATGACAGTGTATACTTTCTCTAACCTTCATTTTTATTCTTTTTCCCCGTAGCGCGGCATGGAACAGCATTATGAACTGGGAAGTTATATAAGGAGAAGATACAGAGGATTCTTGAATGAGTCCTATAAATGTGATCAGGCAAGTTGGGAAACCAGGACTTTGAACCTTGACTCTCGAAAAACAGAACAAAACAAGCCAATTCTCCATGAATATTAAGAATTTATACCCGTGCCTATTTTCTAGAGAATTTGCACAAGTCAGAGGTTTTGTTTACAGATATATTTCTCTTTATGAGACTATTTTTTCCTAAACATTTATGAGTCTTAGTTCAAGTTTGTATGAGTACCTGTGTAAATACTTTGGCTTAGTGTAACTGGTCAATTCAACTTTTGGCCTACTGATTGCTTTGTCCCCTTGTATTTTCACAGTACTATCTATCCCATGACAAATACAATTTGTAGATATATTTATTTATTTATTTATTTATTTATTTACTTACTTACTTACTTACTTACTTACTTACTTACTTTTTGTTTGTTTGTTTGAGACAGAGTTTCTTTGTGTAACAGCTCTAGCTGTCCTGTAACTCATTCTGTAGACCAGGCGGGCCTCAAACTCATGAATACCTATGTGCCTCTGCCTTCGAGTGCTGGGATTAAAGGAATGCACCACCACTGCCTGCCCTGCTTGCTGATATCTTATTTCCCTTTCCAGCTCTTTACCTGGTACCGTGTCAGCCCCACGGAAAGAAAACCTCAAGTTTTTTTCTAATTTTCCATCTGGTTTGCCTTTTCCACATCTAGGTTTATATTCGAAGCACAGATGTGGACCGGACCTTGATGAGTGCAATGACAAACCTTGCAGCCCTGTTTCCCCCAGAGGGGATCAGCGTCTGGAATCCCAGCCTGCCCTGGCAGCCCATCCCAGTGCACACAGTGTCTCTCTCTGAAGATCGGGTCAGTATCCTGGGTAATCCAGGAGGAGGAAACTAGGCTGCTGGGGACTTACAGACTCAGCATGCTGGACACATAGGACATGCAAAACCCAGATTAGCAAGGCTAGGAGCTGAGGTTTTCTTTGGATTTATTTTACCTTACTACCATTTCAACTTCTGCTAATTTCCCTCTCTCCACCTACACACACACACATACACACGTGTTCTGCCTTCAATTCCCAAAATTTTAATGCCCAACATAGGTTTATTATCTCCCCCAAATATCCAAAGATCTCCCTTCCCATCAAGCACTCCTCTCTTGTTACAAGTTTACATTCTGGAACAAATGACATAAAGTTCTCAGAGAGGTAAAATAACAAACTCCGCCCAGTGCCACATTGCTAGTCGGCAGCAGTTAATCCTGGGCCCCTCCCACCCAAAGCATCTTCTTCCCTGTGAGACAGTGGTTCTAGATTTAGCTGCCTGTGAGAAGTGCCTTGAGAGTTTTCAGAACGCCCAATGACGAGGGGCACGCCTCATAACAAGTCACCCTCTGAAGGCAGGGCCCTTGCAGCAGAATCTTTTTAATTATTTTCTTTTATTATATGTGAATGAGCATTTTTGCCTGCATGTATATCCATGGAGCACGTGTGTGAATGGCCAGAAACCAGAAAAGGGGACTGAATCCCTAGGAACTGGAATTACAGATGGTTGTGAACGCGACAGTGGATGCTTGGAATCAAACCCTCGTCTTACAGAAGAGCAATAAGTGCTCTTAACTGCTGAGCCATCTCTTCAACCCCAACATCAGCATTTTAAAATAATCTCCCTAAATGATTTTTTGGGCACCCAAGTTTAAGATGCAGCCCCATACACCACATTGCTTAAATGGAGCTATTTGAGAGAAACCCCTTTTTACTCATACAGGTGGGCTGACCAAGAAATCTAACATTTTCATAGGAACTGGTATTTAGAAAAATATGAAAAAAAAATGAATCTAACCTTCCACTGTAGCATGTAAGGGAATACGAATTAACCAGTGTGGAACAGAGAGTTATTCCTTAATTTCCCTGAAGTGCATTTTAGGCTTGACCAGTTTATGTTTTTGTAACTGAGCACTACAAACTGGATAACTTATTTAAATATAGGGGCTCATTCAGGTCACACTTCTGAAGACTTGAGGCTCAAGGCATGACACTAACATCTGCTCAGAATCAGGTGAGTGACCTGACAGAGCAAGAGCTTGCTTTTGTAACAAACCCCCTCCCACCCACAGAGATCCCTTAGTCACCTCCTAACCATACAGCCTCGAAACATAGCCTCACAGGAGGCCAGTTTTCCAACACATGATTCCTCTGGGGGCCGTGCCCAAATCACAACAGCATCTCACACTCTGTGTATTAGCTTTTCCCAGGGACTTCTGGGACACACTATTCTCCTCTCTGCCTGTCAATACTCCTACAGACTTGGCTTAATGGTTGTATAAATTTTTCATGCATGCTTTATAGAATTTTTCAGAATGCTTTGTAGCAAATAGAACCACCTCCCCTTCAAACTCACTCAAGGTTAATCTACTATAACCTTTTTAGTATGTGTTTCCTGATGTTTTCTGAAGAACTAGAATAATGCATTTATGTCCTTACCTTCACAGACTCAAAAGGGAAGCATCATATTATGATAAAATATTATTATATTTTGCATATAATAATTTTGTAATATAATAAATATTATTATATTTTTTGAATAATAATTTCCAAAAAGAAAATATATATATATATACACCATGTTTACCACAGGCTTTTCTACAGAGATGAAGCCGAAAATGCAGTATCAAACACTGCAATGGGAAGCAAAAGCGCTAGCCAACCTGTAACCCAGACAGATGATAATCAAATTACACGCTAAAGATACTGGTGCTATCGGAAGATGAAAAAAGGAACAGCCAGTGAGGGAGATGGAGAGAGAAACAAACAAACAAAAATCTATCCATAGGTTCCAGCTACGTTTTCATGAAGGCAAACAAAATTCTCTGATCGATGAAGAAGTCTAACCTAATTGATAAAAACACTAGATTATTCTCTGAGCTGTGCTGAATGAATGTAAGGCTGGGCTTGATCATGCCTAGATCATGAAAGAAACTTAGCATGTATCAACCACATGACACCGTCCAAGATGGTGGGCGATGGTTTCAACCCAGATTGCTTGTGCTGAAGGGGTTCGGAGAAGGGGCCACCCAGGGCAGAGATGCAGGTCCTCACAGAGCGGGACTGTGAACCAGATTGCCGCAGTAGGGGAGGACACGGAAGCGTGCATTCCTCTGTACCGCGTGGGTGTGGTGAGCATCATGGTACATCCCTGTCCCGACAACGCTTAGAAGGAAAAGATGTGGGAGCCTCAGAGGGCGGTTGTTGATACAATTCGGGGATGACGAAACGAAGGTCTGAGATTACGTGCTCGTAAAAAGGAAGGAAGCAAAGATAAAACCAGGTGACACACAGAGTCAGAAAGGACAGACAGGAAGCGGCTTGTAAAGGCTGAGCAGTGACTAACACGACACGCGCTTGCTCTAGCTGTCAGCACTACAGCGGCCAGCATGACAGAGACAAGTCTGGTTCACTTGAGATGAAGCGTCTTGTGAGAAATAGATAATGCAGGAAACAGACGGTAAAGAAGAACCGTGATGAAATGCTTTCGGGTTGGGATAAGAGGTGGGCCTCAGCGCCATGCAAGAAAGCCCCAAGGTATTTCTGGAGAAGAGAGTGTGAGAAGTCAGGCAGGGGGGAGCAGGGCAGGGCACCCACTGTTGGTGAATGGTCACCTCACCTCAGCCACCGTGGCAAGCTTGGAATTGACTCCGGGTAAAATGAAAAGTCTGTAGAAGTTAAAACCCACAGAAAATGATGCGGGGTGCCTTGAAGGAGGAGTGTGGTTTCTGCGAGGACAATGGCCTGGGAAGGTCGGGGAACAGCCAGCAACTGACCAGAGAGGAAGCGTGGGGAGTGACCTGGCTTGAAAGTAGACCAGTTCTGGCGACTGCCTACAAAGCAGGTTTCCAAACTTTATCGTAGGCAGAAGTAAAAGACGTTGGCAAGAAGGGATAACGGAAGAGGAAGCTGGCCTCAGCTTTATACACACTCAATTTCAGAGCTTCAGTGATCCAAGAGTGGCCTTCGAATAGTCCTCTCCACCACGGGCTGCAAAAAAAAAAAAAAAAAGGAGCGGATGAACCTTGGAACCCCCAAAACAAACTCAGTAGCCTGTGCATCACAGCTAAAGCTAAGAGCGATCGCGAAACTTATGCTGCCTTCACAATCATCGTTTTGTCCTCCTAATTGATTTTTAATTATATCTTCCATACACGGAACACTTATTTTGACAGTCTGCAGCCTTGCCAGCGTGAGGTCAGTGAACAGTCGATCCCTTTAAGGTTCTCTCCCAAACCTCTAATTTATTTCACCTTCCTTCTGGGGAAGAGAGGGTAGAACAGATGTGTGCGCTTGACACAAGATAACAGTCATCCGCGTGGAAAATGAGCGACGGCGAATATTTACCAGCAGCAAGTTCATGAAAGGAAAATGAATAAATCACAGTTTCCTGTCAGGGTACCTGCCCTATTATTTTAGGACCTGCAGACTACTTGCCTCATTGCCTCTAATTTTAGAATTTCTATTCCAAGGACTCTTGGGTCTTTTGAGGTTGCTTTAGACCTAGCGAAGCTTAAACCGTTGGCACTGAGCCTCTGCCAAAGCTCCTCTGGCTAATCAAGGCCTTATGTTTTTCCTTTTGTCCGCAGTTGCTCTACCTGCCTTTCAGGGACTGTCCTCGTTTTCAAGAACTCAAGAGGGAGACTTTGCAATCTGAGGAATTCCAGAAGCGGCTTCATCCATATAAAGTTAGTACTGTCATGTAGTGTATCGTGGGGTATGACGGTCAAGACAAAAGATGAAAGGTTGCCTTCTAGAAAGAACTGTGGGCAAATGTGTCTGTCAGTGGTCTGCCTGCCTCTGCCTCCCGAGTGCTATGATTAAAGGCTCTCGCCTCCACACCTGACTCCTCTATTTTCTGAATTTTCATGTGGGTATTTTTAGCTTCTTTGTCAACTGTAGAATCAGCCAGTTGAGTTTCAAAAATATTTAATGGTTAGTATTTTAATGAGATACTATTAAGTTTATTTTAAATTAGGGAGGACCTATAATCATTTGATGTGGAAGTTCCTTATAAAAAAATATGGAGTCTTTGTTCTTATCTTAAAGATCATTTTAGGTCAGGTGAAATGGCTCATGCCTATAATCCCAGAACTTTTAGAGACAGAGGCAGGCAGATCTCTGTGAGTTCAAGGCCACCCTGATCTCTAAAGTGAGTCCAGGACAGCCAGGGTTACACAGAGAAACCCTATCTTGAAAAACAAACAGACAGACAGACAAACAAATAAATGAAAAGATCATTTTAGGCTTCTGCCATGTGTTTTTGTATAATTTTTTAAATGTAAATATATTTTAAAATCTTTTAATTTTATGTGCATGATTGTTTTGCTGCCTATGTGTATGTGTACCTCACACATGCCTGGTGCCTGCTGAGGTCAGAAGAGGGGTCAATTCCCCTGGAGTTACTGATGGTTGCAAACCATCATGTGGGTGCTGAGAACTGCACGTAGGTCCTCTGCAAGAGCAACAAGTGTTCCTGATCCCTGAGCCATCCCTCCAGGCCCTGTGTTTATACTTTTGGCGTATCCATTCCAGTTTACACTAACTGTAAATAACAATGGTTTATCTCTAGCTTTCCAGTACCTACCTGTCTAACTGTTTTCTCTGGCTTGCTTGCACCGGCCAGTACTTACAATGGCACTGTTGTAGTGGGCGCCACTCATCATGTTATTATTTTATATGTTTTCTACCATTAAGTGTGCTCGTTCTTTTTTATTATTACTAAGTTGAGGATGTGTCTCATCCCCCGGCATGGTGGTAACGCATCTGTAATCGCAGCGTTTAGGAGGCAGAGGCAGGAAGAGAGCCATACAGTTCAGGACCGCCCGGACTACACAGGGAAGTCTAGGCAAGCCAGGGCAACACACAACGACCCTGCCTCAAAACTAAAAGAAAACAAAATCTGTCTTCTCTGACTTCATGTGTGTCTTAATCAGCTCATTTCTTAATCTTTTGAAAGATTTTTCAATATAATCATCTTCCCCTTTGAATCATGACTGTGATTAACCATATTCGTAGATTTACTAGAACTGAACCATCTTTACACTTCTCAAATTAAGCCTTTTCCCCTTCACGTGAAATTGAATTATTTGCTAATGTTTTGTGCTTTATATTGGTACCTACAAGTGACAATGAACTCACTGTATTTTCTGAGCAGTCTTTGTTAGTGTTGGCATTACAACCAACACACAAACACTTTGAAAGTTTTCTCTCTCTTTTTGATGGTCCTGAGAAGTTAAAATAGCATTGGAATAAATTGCCCTTGAGGAGCTTGACAGAATTCCTGGGAGAAATCATGCTCTCTGGAGTATAAGGCAGAAAGAATAAGAACCATCTTTCATATCTAGGGTGTGTGTGTGTGTGTGTGTGTGTGTGTGTGTGTGTGTGTGTGTCTGTTTGCCTGTGTGTATACTCTTACATGTGAAGCCCAGGGTCACCCTCAAATGTCAGTACTCAGGATGGTCCACCTTGAGTTTTTTGAGGCACAGTCTCTCACCAGGAATGGGGGCTCACCCTTTGCCTACACTGGCTGAAGTCCCAAGCTCATGCCCCCAAGTATGGCTTTTCCCACAGGTGCTAGGAATCCAGCTGTCTTCCCAGCCACAGCAATGGGACACTACTATTGCTGTTTGTTTGCTGGAAGCCTGTTGGGGTTAATATGGGCAAGAAGTAGCCTCCTGGAAAATGTATCCATCAAACGGTCTTCCAAAAGACTTCCTAGAAATGGCTACCAACCTCACAGTCTAACACGCATGTCATTATGACCACACAGAACCTTCTAGTGAGTGAAATGCTTGTGTTTCATCCAGAGCTCATTCGTATAACCAGAGACTTCTGGGCGCTTTGCCCTCCCTTTCTTTTCTTGGCTGGGGACATTCATTTGCATGTATTATTCTTCACCCACTTTGGAAAAAGAGTCCCAGGCAGAGTGCTTCTGCTGGCTTTCAGGACAAATCAGGAAGGTGTGGCCATAAGCCAGCATGTATCTGCAGTTTTAAGGTACTGTGAGAAATAAGCTCATATCATATTTCTTCGTCACCATTATTGTTGCCAGTATCACTCGCTGCATCTTGCTGTGGTAGATATCAGCGTCTGTGGATGATGAGAAGCCCTTTGCAGAAATATTTTCCTTCTTGTGTTCCAGAGCTTCATAGAAACCTTGTCATCACTGTCAGGATTCACCAACCAGGATCTTTTTGGAATTTGGAGTAATGTTTACGACCCTTTATATTGCGAGGTAAAAGAACTTATCAAAGATTCATTTGCAATCTGATTTTATGATTTGACTCATACATCAAATCTGATAAATTCATTTTCTTTTGCTTTTTGAAAATGTGCTGCTTCTATGGCCTTTCATATTGAAGTATAACTCAAGATCTCCTTCTATAAGCTTGGAAATCTGTTCTTCTCTTTTCTCATTGTTTGTTTTTGCCCTTTAGAAAATTGCAAACAAAAATTGCTTTTCTTCAAAACATTGCCTCTCATTTATTTTGCAGTCACATTGGAATGCCAGGTTCCTGTCACTGGTTTTAATGGAAAAAAAAAAAATTTAAGCGATGTTGTTACATATAAAAGGGGGAGAAAATTTGCCAGCTCTCTGGATATTGAGCTAAGCCAGACAACTATAGGCCAGGCTGTCAGACATGGCTTGTAAGAAAAACAAAAAACAAAAAACAAAAAAACTCCCCTATGTGATGCTTTTGAAATCATCTTCCCATCTTCCTAGCTAAAGCACTAGGTTTCCCACCATGTGATGCTTTTCATTCACCAGGCTCCATCTTCTGGCCAAAAAGAGTAATTTTTATTCCTTGTCTCTTGGAGCAAAATTCTGACTCCTACATGCCTCCTGCCCACTTCTGATATCATGAATATGTGGGACAGGGGTTACCTTACTACTTCTGTCCAATGAAAGATGACACACTTTGCCCATTTCCAGGGCAGTCAGGTGACCTAACTATGCATTCTCTTTATCTTCAGCATTTGTTTAAGGCTCCTCATTTTAGTCCTGGTAGAGGCAGCAGCTTCTTCTTCTTCTTCTTCTTCTTCTTCTTCTTCTTCTTCTTCTTCTTCTTCTTCTTCTTCTTCTTCTTCTCCTTCCTTTCCTCCACCTCCTTCTTCTTTTTATTCTCCTTTTCTATTTGCTCATTTGCCTATCCTAAAGATTAAGGCCAGGGAACAGCCATGCTACCGCTGAGCCCCAATGACTTCAGATGGTTTGACATGAATTATTCTGTGATAAGGCCATGTTACCTGTGGTCATTTTCACATCCCCCACTTCTTCCTTCTGCATCCCTTTACTTCATGCTGCGCTTCTCATAGCCTCTTTGCTTCCCCTTTCTCCCCCCCTCCCCCAACCCTCCCTCCCCTCCTCTTCCTCTCTCCCATTCACCAACTTTTAAAACCAGAGAACTCTAATCAACTCTTCCTAATAGGCAATAAACATCTGCGCAAAGACTGTATCTTTACTGCTTGCAGCTCAGTTACACGTTTAGCTAACATTTGCCAGCAACTCACTGTGCCTGAGGTACAGACATTCCCCTAGACAGTGAACCAGAAGATTGTTGTATCCCTGGGAAGATTCCAGAAATACGTGAGCTTTTATAACTGGCCTCATAAGAAAGTCCTTCTGATTTCTAGGAAACAGCATCTAACCCTATATGCTCTTTTTGTCTTTGTCCTGGAAACAGACCACAGGGGAATGCCGCTTCCTGTCTTGCTCCCTCTGATTCACACTCAGCCAGTTTTTTTATATAACCCAAGACCACCTGCTAGGGCGCTGCTGCCCACAGTGGGCTGGTCCCTCCTCACCAATTCTCAATTAGGAAAATGCCCCATAGGCCTACCTAAGGCTGACCTGAAGGTGGGAATTCCTCAGATGAGATTCCCAATTCCCGGGTGACCCCAGTTCATGTCTAGCTGACAAAAAATAATAATAATAATAATAATAACTGGAACAGCCTCCCTCACAGGTTCATGACAAGATTTCTAAACCTTTTGTGAAGGGGTGGGGTACATCTCTGCCCTGTGGCATCATTTTGTGCAAAATCTAATTTTTTTTTTAGACTTGGAGTTAAGCCATGAAGCTCTGGTGCTTGTAAGGAAGAACAGATTAGTTTATTTAGATTTTCCATCTGAAAACCATTACTAATTCTCATAAATACTTAGAGTGAAATGGCAAGATCAGCAAGGCTGCGTGACCCTAGATGTCCTCGTTGTGAGATGAAGGGAGAAGTGGAAGTCAACAAAGAGAGTCATAAATCACAACTGTGTGCACATAGTTTCCTCCTCTCCCTTCTCTGCAGGGTGCCCACAATTTCACTTTGCCCCCCTGGGCCACCAAAGACGCCATGACTAAGTTGAAAGAGTTATCGGAACTATCCCTGCTCTCTCTTTATGGAATTCACAAGCAGAAAGAGAAATCTAGACTCCAGGGGGGTGAGTATTTTTTTTTTTTAACATGGAAAGAATGCTGGGTTTGCAGTTGGACAGTGTGGGTCTGACCTCCACTTGTTACCCATTCACAGAGTGGCTTTACAGTGGTCCCTTTATCGTTTTGCGGTTTCCATTCTGCAAAGCTGATATGGTAAAAACACCGCGGAAGAGACCATGAATACTAAAACGAATATATGTTTACAGTGCCTAGTACCTAACATATTGTCTGTTGATGCTGCGTTTCCATAAGGCATTGACATTGCCCACTCTGGGTGTTAATTTGTACTTCTGGAAATGAAAGTTTGAGACTAAAGTCAAATGGTCCTTCCCATTCCTTACACATAAAATAGCGAAGGATTTATGTCTGGGTTCTGGGAGAATGGATTGTGTCCGGTAGCTGATAGGATGAGGTACAACGTGAAAGTTGACAAAAGCTGGATATGTTTTGCAAACATTTGACAAATACTGCAATTGACAAATTTATACAACTTCTTATACTGGTATTGAAAGATAATGAGATATTTATCAGGGACCCCCCACTTCACAGCTGTAGTCTTTGACACCCTCTCAAAATGAAGGCAAATCAGGAAGGAGGATGCTGGGTTTTTTAAATCAGGACTGGGGAGTAGAAGAAAGAAGCCAGGATGGACAGACACTGGAGTCTGCAGGGACATTAATATAAGTAGGCCCAACTATGAATTAGGGAGGGTCAGGTTCAGACATGGTGAATGTAGTCAATACTGTATTATTACAACATAGTCACTGGGGGTAAACAAGAGAAGGTCCAACTGTGTTAAGTGTTGACACAGTGAAGAAGATCACCCAGGCTGATATGCTCTCAATACTCTGAGGACAGCAGCACAATTATATCCGGATTTTGGCTACTAATAGATGTTTACCACTCAAGCGTGCACCACCATACCCGCTTCCTGAATGGCTTTTTACAAAACATTCTCTCAGCCTGCTGTTCCGATCTGGCTAGGTGAGAGAGACATGTGACCGCATGGTGATTGAATGATAAATCCTACACAGAAAGCACGCATTGCCTCTGCGACACAGCAACACAAGAACACCTGGCTGGTGGCCAGTGGCGCCTAACGTTTGCTGGAACTTTTGCGTTTCGTCTGGTTTTGTGGGTGAAAATACTTAGTAAGATGTACCCATACCTACCCCCAAGATCCCCAACTATAGTTCAGGAACAGTTGCCGTCAACTGGGGACTGGCAAAGAACTGCCTGTACGCTGAACCCAGCCCCGTGCCTGGTTCTGTTCTATTTAACCAGCTCTTAATGAAAGCTGGATACACTATTACTCTCTTCCTGAATCTCCTCCATCCTTGTATTTGCCCTTTTCTTATCCTACTTGGCAAATATCTGCCTTTCTGGATTGTTTAGGCCTGTTGATAAAGTACCGTGCTGGGGTGAGTGCCATGTGACAGTTGTGCCCTTAGCCTTTGCTGTATATAGAGATCAGAAGTTAGAGAAGTAGAGTTCATGTCTTTTAATCAAATGAAGTTGTGTCTGATTTACATGGATTTAGAAAAGAATGGGCACACGAACCTAGAAGCAAGCACCATGTTTCAGTATAAGCTCCTTGGCTTCAAAGCCCAGCTCTTCTGCTTACAAACTACCCAGTGTCGGAGATGTTGCCGAGTTTCATTTCCCCATATACACATCAGTATATTGGAATTTCAGAGCCTAAGGGTACTTAAGGTAGTCAGGAGAAGAACTGCCCCAGCACTAGAGAGGGTACCATACTCATTGCCAGGGCTACAGGCTGCCACGGAGGCCCCCGCTGAGGGCAAGCTTCTCTTTGCAGGTGGTTTTCATGATTCTCGGAACCTTAGCAACTGAGGTTAGGATTGAGGTGGCTTGAAGAACAAGATGAAGTCTCCTAAGTATCCATGGGGCAGCCTTCCCTGGGACAGAGGCATGGACTTGTTCAGGATGGAGCATCCAGTTTCTTCCAGTCACAGCCAGGAAATTCCAGCATCCGCACACAGAAGAGGTCACCTGTCTCCTTCACTAACTTATCTGCCCATAAGTGCCTAAATGTAACTATTTCATGAGCCTTATGGGAGGACAGGGACCTTGTCTGGCTCACTTAGCATCATTCGGTCCATCTTAACTGCTTGGTATGCATTTCTGAAAGTCCTACAGACTCTGGGATTATGGTCAGACTGTTGCCTTCGGTTTGGCTTATTACCAAAAATTTACGTCATCAACCACTCATTCCTGAGCCAGAGTCATACACCATCCAGGGTTCAAGGACTCAACTCTCTTGAGACTCCTCAACAGAGAAGGTTGTGGGAGCTCTGGGAGGCAATATGTCCTCAATTTGACTCTGGCATTGCTAGGCCACGCCCACCCCCGGCGCCCAGCTTTCCATCTATGGACAGAATGAAGATGGCAGTTGTTTGCCTACCTTGCTAAACACCTCAGGAGAAGAGTCCCTTGTCCCTATGTGAAAGCTGACAATGCTGGCTGACCCTACGTAGTGACACACACACACACACACACACACACACACACACACACACCCTCACACCCCTTGGGTAAGCTGAAGAAATGGTCCACAGGAGAGAGTCCCTGGTGTGTGTATACATATGGAGAGTTGCTTTCTCCCGTGGCCTCCCACAGGTCTGACTACCAAAGAGCAGAAGCCAGGTGTGAAGATTCAAATACCATCATCTCTCGGTCCGGCTGATGTGGGAAAAGATCATTGACTGACAATGAGCTGTCTTTATGGTTGGGAAAGCATGGGAATATCCTCCTAACTTGAGCTTTAATGGAAGCTGGGACAAAAGAGGGCCCGGGGGCCCATTCAGCACTCCCCTCCCAGCCGGGTGAGGCATGTATGCCTCTGAGTTTTAGCTTCTACAAGACCTAAATCTTATTGCCTGGAATGCACCAGATGAGGAGCCAAAATTAAGCCTTTGCCTCATCTGTTAACTCACAACAGACAGAACTCTCAATTAGTGACTAGTCAGGAAGCCCACAGACCATTATATAAAGCTATGTTTGATTTAACTCTGTTGTTTGTCTTGTCTCCTTTAAGGTGTCCTGGTTGGTGAAATCCTCAAGAACATGAAGATTGCCGCTCAGTCACAGAAGTACAAGAAATTTGTCATGTATTCTGCAGTAAGTGCCTCTGTGTTCATTTAGCATAGACACATTCAAGGGTACCATTCTCACCATCTTTAGGTCTCTATCCCCCAGAGAATGGTAGAAACCTGCACTAACCTTCTAGCATTGAATATATCACTCTGTCCTTGAGGAGTTTGCAATGTGATGCTAATACCAGCAGCAAGACAAACATACAGACATACACACCAGACAATGCAACATGAAATCCACTAGAAGCAAGTGCAAAGGTAGCCAGCCATCCTTTTGCTGCAGGGCATGGGAAAGAGGTGCATCTGGCACCCTGAATTAGGCAGCCCCCTGAATCATGGAGAGAGAGGAGGTAGGGAGGCAGGAGCAATGGTGTATGCCTGTAATCCCAGCACATGGGGAGGCAGGCAGATCTCTGTGAGTTCGTGGCCAGCCTGGTACAGGACAGCCAAGGCTACACAGAGAAACCCTGTCTTCCTGTCTTGAAAAAACCGAGAAGGAGGGGACAGAGAGAGAGAGAAACAGAGAGAGAGACAGAGACAGGGAGAGAGAGAGAGTAGTAAGTGGTTTTTCACTGGTGTGGGGCTCATGAAAAGAACTGCTAGAACAGTGGACAGCTAGGAACACTTTGGGGAAACTCTGGTATCAAATTCACAGATAACCTCGTCCTCCGGATATAGAACGTTGACGTTAAAATTAAATCAATTATAATTACATAGAACAAAACCTGAGGCTGAATGTGATAGTTCTTGCGTGTAATCCTAGCATTTACCTGGGAGGACGAAACAAAGATTGCTATGCGTCCAAGGCAAGGCTGGACCACATAGAGCAGTGGTTCTCAACCTGTGGGTCACGGCCCCTTTGAGAATGAACACCTTCACCATGGTTGCATATCAGATATCTTGACTAAAAGATATTTACATTACAGTTTATAGCAGTAACAAAGTTACAGTTATGAAGTAACAATGGAATAATTTTATGGTTGGGAGTCAAAACCACATGAGGAACTGTACTAAAGGATTGCAGCAACAGGAAGGTTGAGAACCACTGATTGAACCCAGGGATTTGGACAGTCTAACAACTGAGGTATATATAGCCCCAGCTCCGGACAGTTCAAACAGTTCAAAATGTTCTTTCATTTTTATAAACAATGGAAGATACAGCTTACCTCAGATTAGACAGCTTATCCACGCCAGAAGTGGAACTATAAACCACTCTGAGGTAAATCACTATTGTGTTAACCATTTAACATTTTTTAAATCTCCCTTATATCTTTAACCTTCCTGAACATCCTTGGTCTCAAATACCCTTCATCAACTTTAAAGTCAAAGACGTTGCAAACCTGTGGGAAATGTAACTCGGCATGTGTTCCAGACTTTTTAAATGTGTCAAAAATCACTATAGAGTGTGGGAAGCAGGGAGGCTTCCACAGGCATGGAACTTAAAACCACAAACTTTGCTTCACATTTATTCTATTTATGAAATCAAGTGAGGTGACTAATTTCTCTGGATATCAGTTAGTCCGTCTTTGAAATAAAAACAATATATGAGTAAACCTGACTGCCCAGACATACAGGAGAAACTCCTTCTTTCCCCCTTTACATATTGAGAGTATGGAGGAACCAGGAGCCATCATTGTATCTTACCCATGGCTGAAGCCCACCACGTGTAAATCTGAATCAGGAAGCAAACAGTAAAATTGTTTCCAATCTCTGCAGCACGACACAACTGTGAGTGGCCTGCAGATGGCGCTAGATGTCTATAATGGAATTCTACCTCCCTACGCTTCTTGCCACATAATGGAATTGTATCATGATGAGAGGTAAGTGTCTGCTTTGCTATTCTGTGTGTGTGTGTGTGTGTGTGTGTGTGTGTGTGTGTGTGTGTGTGTGTGTGTGTGTGTGTGTGTGTTTGTTTGTCTGTGTGTTTGTGTTTGAGACAGGATCCTAATATGTAGTTTTGGCTGCCCTGGACCTCATAGAGATTATTTTTAAATATGTATCTTTAGTAATCCTTTGAGGATTTCATTCATGCATTCGACGCGTTTTGAACCTATTTGTGTCCATATTTCCCTAAATTCCTCCTGGATCCACTTCGCTCACCCTGATGCCTCCCCTCCCCCACCAGAGACACACATACACATTTTCCCAATTTCATGTCTTCTGTATGTTACCCCACTAAGTCCAATTTGTGACCATTTGTATTGCCCATATATCTGTAGGTGTGGGGCTACGCACTGGAGAATGGTCAAACAGGAATACACCTCTAATGTAAACTTCTCCTCTTCTACAAGCCGCCAACCCTCTACAGCCCCTCAGCTAGAAGTTGTAATTCTTGGCTTGTCTGTTTGTATAAACGGCGTTTCACCGCCATGGCTGGGAGTAGCCTAGAATTCAATGTGTAGCACAAGCTGCCTTTGATCCTCCCGCCTCAGCCTTGGAAGTGCTGGAGTTCCAGGCATGTGCTATTATTCCAGGCTGCTATTATTGTTTTTTGCCTTCTTAAGGCCCATCATGTCAGTCTATAATCATTTTGGTTTTATACTCAGAGAGAAGGGATAGTAGTAACAGGACTTTTGGCTCTTTTGAGTCCATGAGCCTTTTACTGGGAAATGATGTACACACAGTAGACGGATTGAGAGAAACATCCAAAGTGAAGGAAATTTTTTTTTTTTTTTAATGAAGGCAAACATTGCATTTTTTTTCCGTTGGGGGAAAAATGTGTGGTACAAGATGCCATGAGGGAAATAAGGATGCTTGATGCTTTTGTAAAATATCTTTCACCTAAACAGTCCAAGCCGTCCCCACAGCTCCTGGTAACTCACATCCACCAGCTCATCATCTTAGAGCATAGCTGCTGAGCAGTATTTACCCTCTTGAGGCCTGGTGACTGTCTTGGCCTCTGAATAAAGAAAAGCCAGGTTGGAGATTTCCAAACGTCCTAGTTCACCTGGCATGGAAGGACTTTGGAAACGAAGAGTTTCACTTTTCAACTGCAGAATCTCTAGGCCGTGGCCCTTTAATACAGTTCCTCATGCTGTGGTGATCCCCAACCATGAAACTATTTTCACTGCTACTTCACACCTGTAATTTTATTGCTGTTATGAATTGTAACATAAATCTGTGTTTTTCCAATGGTCTTAGGCAACCCCTGTGAAAAGGTCAGTTGACACCCCAAGGGGTCATGACCCACAGATTGAGAACCACCGCTCTAGGTAAATCAGGAAAAAGATGGTTACTAGAGACAAATGTCTTAGTTACTTTGCTTTGATAAAAAATGCCATGATCAAGGCATCTTATAGAAAAAAGGGTTCATTTAGGGCTTACAGCTCCAGAAAGACAAGAGTCCATCACCATCGTAGCAGAGAGCATCGAAGCAGACAGACAGGCGTGGGCCTAGAGCAGCAGCTGAGCGCTCACATCACATCCACAAACAGAAAGCAGGGAGCCAGCTTTTGGAAAGATCTAAGCCTCCCCCGGGAGCAAAGGGCAGGTGTTAAGCATTTGTTAAAAATCTGTTGAAATCACTATTAGTGTGGATGGTATGCTCTTTAATGCTCTCTATTATCAGCATTCCTTCTGATGTTCACTTGCCAAAATAGACAAAGGTATTGAGGAATGTGGCAATTTAACTCCTTAATTGGCAGCTGGTGGGTGCTCCCTTGCTACCCTGGCTGTCTTGAGCAAAAGGACTATCAGATAGCTAGTTTGCTGAAATACCATTATGCCAGCATCAGCCATTTTGGACATTCTATAAATGCCTTGAAAGACCCATAATGGTCACAGCTGATGTGCCAGCTCCTGAGGGACAGTGCCAGCAGGATTGTGTCACATAGTTTATATCAGACATTGTACTAACACAGGCTTGGTGAACTCCAGATGGCTTTACAACCATTTCAGCCTAGGCAAAGGGCAGAGCACTTCCCCTGGTAGCATGGCAAAGTGGCTGTTGTGACTGGTGCTTAACAAGGCAAGACTAACTGATGAAACACAAACTCTCATTTTTACACGAGGTGTGTGCTCTGGTTGGCACAAATCCAAGCCTTCATGTGCATATGAGATACGCTGTGATTGGTCCACAGACCTCCTTTCTTGATATATTTGCAGGCTGTTAAGACCCCTCTCTTGATATATTTGCAGGCTACTAAGACTTCATCCTCAGCCTATACCCTCACCACTTACAAACAGAGTGAGTCCCCTTCAGGGACACTCTCTTTCCTGAACCTCTAGTTGGACACCAAGCATGAAGAAGTAGAACTAAAATGTCAACTTAATTGCTCTTGCCCTCAGACACCTCAAGTGAACGGAGAGACGCTTCCAGCAGTGGAAACTAGCAAACAGATCAGAGCATGGCCGTAAGAGGCTTGGAAACAAATGCTACCTTATTAACACCAGAGTGTGAAGACCAACTCTGGGCACGTGGTTGAGAAATCGAGCTAAAATCCTAGGATCGGCTCTAGGCTGTCTCTTCAGAAACAAGACGAGAGGCATTGCCAGCTTCCGTCAGCCCCCTCCTCTCTGCTGCTCCCAGCACCCACATTAAAACTGTGTGTGTGCCTCCTACAACTCCAGTACTAGGAGTTAGACACAGGCTGATCCCAGCCATAAACGGCCAGACAGTGCAGCCAAAACAGCCATCTCCACACCCGACAATGAGAGACTCTGTCTCCAAATTAAGGGGCAAAGCAATAGAAGAAGATACCTGACATTGGCCTCTGAGCTCCAACCATGTTTACATAGGTGTGGGGGGGGTGTACACACACACATACCATATTACAAACATATACAAACAAAAACATATCTCACAAATGAACATTTGCAGTCACTACGTTCTTCTTTAAAGGGCTCTTTTAAAAGCTTTCTTATAGAGACGTCTACAAGTTGAAACTTGTGATAGATCATTAAATCCTACTTGAATTTTTCTCCTGACTCATTCATTGGTGAGTTGCTTCCACAAACAGGTTGGTGCGGGCTGTTTGTTTTCAGAAGACCTGGGAGAGCTCTATTTGGAATGACTCGGGAATCAAATCCATTTCCACTTTCTCTTCCAAGAGAAGTTTCTCTGAAGTCTTGGCATGTCCCCAGCGGTGTTACATTGTTCATTTCTGTGTTTACGGCTAAGGAGAGTGCATATTTAGGACAAATACTGGGAAAAAAAAATCCCTGAGAAAAGAGAAAAAAAGAAAGGAGAGAAGCATTGAAGAGACAGAATGTGGAAAGAAAGAGCCAGCACCTCAGTAGACCCCATGCCTCCCCCTCTTTGGAAATCAGGAAAAACTTTATCTATTGCAAACTTTACCATTAAGAAAAGACTGAAAAGCAAAACTTTCTCTTGCTTACAAAGATAAACAGCCTCCTTATGCCGAGATCGAATGGGAACAGGGAGGATGAAAGGAAAGCACCTCCCATCATACCCTAAGCTGACCTCTGTCCTTTTACAGCAGTGGTTCTCGATCTTCCTGACGCTGTGGCCCTTTCATACAGTTCCTTGTGTTGTGGTGAGCCCCAACCACAGAGTTATTTTCATTCCTACATCATAACTGTAATTTTGCTACTAGTAGGAATCATCATGTAAGTGTCGGCATTTTCTGCTGGGCTTAGACAACCCCTGTGAAAGTGTTGTTCAACCATAAAGGGGTCGTGGTGCACATCTTGAGAACCGCTGTCTTAGATGAAGGCCCTGACTTCTTGCCCAGGACCTGTATGTGGCCAGTCTAACACGAACGCTAAGAAATCAGTAGAGTCCATCCCCTCAATACAAAAGTGAAGAAAGCTAGACCAAAGATTAAGTCCTGTATTCAACAGGATCTAGGGGGTACTCAGATAGATAGATAGATAGATAGATAGATAGATAGATAGATAGATAGATAGATAGTAACAAGAAAAAATCCAGCTTGAAGGAGGGCTCTGCATTTAAGAGCACATACTGATCTTACAAAATTCTTGACTTTGATTCCCAGTACCACATTGGGCAGCCCACACCTACAACTGCCTGTGATTTTAGCTCCAGCAGATCCTAGCCCTCATCTTTTCTCCATGGGTGCACACACACACACACACACACACACACACACACGCACACACACACACATACACATTGCATACACTCACAGGCATACACACATATAAAAATAAAATAAGTCTTGAAAAAGAAAGTAGATGCTCATTCTTATTCAAAGTCACATCCAGCTCTTCTAATCATCTTCTTTGATGAAGGATGCTGGTCCTTTGATCTACACAAACCAGCCCTTGAAATTCCACTCTCCAACTCTGTCCCACCCGTCTCAATCTGCATATCCACCCCCACCCCACCCCACCCCACCGCACAAACTGGAATTCCTTCTTTCCCAGGAGCTCTTCCTCTGATCCTTAGGGATATGTTCCAGGTGGGTGGAAAGGAATTCACATGACAACTTAGCATTGCAGAACTAACACCTCCGTCTTCTGCCTGTCGCACCAGGGGCCACTTTGTGGAGATGTACTATCGGAATGAGACCCAGCACGAGCCCCACCCACTCACGCTGCCGGGCTGCACCCACAGCTGTCCTCTGGAGAAGTTCTCAGAGCTGCTGGACCCCGTGATCCCAGAGGACTGGTCCACGGAGTGTATGGGCACAAGCAACCACCAAGGTACTGAGAGCTTGGTTTGGGTTAGTGAGCTCGCAGAGCTCGGCAGGAAAGTGGGGTGCATTCTCAAGCAACTGGGGGTTCCAGGAAGTTCTTTGTCCCTGGTTCCCAGCTTGGAAGGAAATGGGTTTGGGTTGCTAACTGTATATTTTAGGAACCTCTTACTTTACCTACCTCTCTGTCTACTCTTACTCCCACCTGCCATAAGCCTTAACTCGGTTGGTCTTTCTTTCAGTGTTGCTGTAAAAGAAAACCAGTTCCCAGTGCGATCAGGAATAAGAGTTAGGTCAAGGTTGTGGGGCTGCCATGGGATCCGAGATTAGCACAAAGACCTCTATTGTTGAAGGACTCGCAGGTTTTGCTTAAACAGGACGGAATAAGACTGCACTGGGAATGCCTGGCATAAAACAGGTTTCAAACAAAGCCCACTGGTTAGTGTACAAGCACGAAAAAGAAGACGCTTATCCCATGCTGATGGGCAAAGCAGTGGTTTACCTGACAACAGCGCTCATCTGTTCCTGCCTTCTCCCAAAGAAAGGCAAACAGAGGAGCTAGGAGAAAACCCTGGAGGAGTTTTCCATTCCCAGCCTAGAATGATCGGATTTCGTACGTATGTTAAAACACACTGAGTAGAAGAACTGAAAAATGAAAGCCTCTTTCTAGCCATCCATGTTCCTTTCAAAGAAACTAAAGGTCAAGCTTTCCAGAAAGCTCCATATATGGCATCCATACAGCAGATCCTGGAAGTAGCCAATAAAGGACCTGACAAGAGCAAGATATGCAGACACTGCACCTCAGAGGTGAGCATGCTCCACAGAGCATCTCCCGAAACCCCAGTGCCATGAGATGCAGAATCTAAAGCTGATTCACAAGAGATTTGAGGACACACACACAAACACACACACACACGCACACACACCACTGAAACAAAATGAGAATATTCTAGATGCCCCCCCCCAAGTCCAAAATTTATTTAAAACATTGAGTATAGCTGCAAAATCTGCTCAGAGGACAAATGGAACGTTCAAGGCCTCAATTCCAGAACTGTCAGAAGCCCCAAGCCAAGTGCCAGGTCTACTTCCACAGCTCCCTACACACAAAGAAGCTGTGCCTGGGTGATTTTCTCACTAGAGCCTTGACTGGCCACGTGGCAGAACAGAGCTGTTCGTAAAGTGGATAAAGATCAGACGGCCACTGGAGGAGGCCTCCACTGGAAGCCAGAACCGGAAGCATGGCCATGCCGTCCCAGGCTGGGCATGGAATGAACAAACCAAGACCTGAGTTGACATGCCTCTTTGTGTTACTTCTCTGCCATGTAAATCTGTGCTGTTGGGGTCATGCAGCGTCTACCCTCAGAACTGTTTCCTAGCAGTGAGGCAAGTGAAAAGCCTCGAATTAAAAGCATTATTATCAGGAAGTTCAAAGGAGATACTTTAATAAGGAACTCTGAAAACCTTGTATGTGTATATCTTGTTAGAATAAAATTCCTGCAGTCATGAGGGCTCTCTTTTTACTTGAGGGTGGAGGTGTTGTTCTAATATAACAGGAGTGATTATGTTAATAGAAAATTATTCATCTGGCTTAAATTAATTGTTTACGTTAAAAATATAGTTTGAAATGCTTCAGATAAAGGGTAAGCGGGGAATAGCTGTTTCATCTACTCAAGGTAGAACTTGGCAAGAAAACATCCTGTTTACAATGTGTTGCAGAACAGATACATCCTACTCAGAACAAGAACATATAATTTTTTTTTTTACAACTATATGGGTTATTTCCGAACAAGAATTATAGGATATAAGAATTATAAAATATCAGTTGTACAAAGCAAGAATTTTATCTGTAGTATCTTCAGTGCCTCAGAGAGCCAGTGCAGGGAATCACTGTTTTCTGCTCAATAAATATTTTCTCACTAGTGTATAATTAGCTATCTTTCCTTGGAGCCTTCTCTGATCTTGATTAGACACAATACCCAGCAGCCTGGGAGTCGTGTTTCGCCCACTCTGCCTGTTCCCCAGCCAGTTTGTCTCCTCTTGTTGAACCTATCTCCAGCGTGTTCGTAGAATTCCCCCCTTAGAACAGCAGCCTTGGCAATCCAATACCCAAGTGAAGAGAAATGTGATGAAACATCGGATTGTACCAACCAGAAGACAGTGCATAGCTACCATGCTTCAGCACCCTCATGCAGACCCAGGGGTGAAATGTGTGCATCTCTTCCTGGCACCAACTGCCAGAACTCCTCTCTGGGGGCTTCACATTGGTCACAGCGGCTCATCACAGAAATCAGCAAGTAACACAAACCAGAGCGCTACTTCAGATTCAAGTTGCCGACACCCTGTTGGTTCTAACTAGCGGAAAGCTTCTTAGGAGTCCAAGATGGCCTCTGATGAAAATAACCCTAATGCATGAGCTTCCTAATGAAAAAAGACTAGACTCCATTCTTCAATGAAGTCTCAGCGGGTGATGCTAGAGGTGGCAGGTGAAAGCTGAGACATTCCTGATATGGGAAGTGACCAGTGGCTTGGGCGACCACTTGCCTTAGTGTAGGTACTCTATAGCACAAGCTAAGCATGGAAGGTGTAAGGGTTGGCATCATTTTAACGGGACCACCAAATTTAGTACATAATTCAGCAAAGAAAAAGCATAGGAGTCTAAGATCAACTCGACAAATAGGTCTCTTTCTAGTTTTGTTTTGTTTGGGGTTTGTTTGTTTGTTTTTGAGACTTGTTTTGTAGACCAGGCTGGCCTAGAACTCATAGAATTCCTGCCTCTCCCTCCCCAAGTGCTGGGATTACAGGCGTGTGCCACGCCTGGGCAACAAATAGTACTAACAGCTGAATTATGAGCTTGATGGGGGTGGGGAAGGAAGTCAGGAGGCAGGAAATGGAATACAGAATGCATGGTCTGAGAAAGCCAACACCTAAACAAGGCAAAAATGATATCCTATATGTGTGAGGTGCTGGCAACCCTGCAATTCATGTTTGCAGACTGAATAATTGTTTGACCCTCCAGATTCAACCCGACTTCTTCATGAAACTCTAAGCTAGTTGGTCACTAATAGGGGACAGAAGCTATGAACAAATTTCAAATGCAACTGCTTTCTAAAGACCCAGACACTGGCTCTATTTGCAAACCCCCACGCCAACCAATTTATGTCACTCAGCATATATTTTAGTCATAGTTAAGAGCCCCTGATCCGTGGTGTCCCTCCCAGCATCATTCCTCCCTCAAAGACCAGGCCAACTGATTAAAACACCTTTTTTCCCACGCTGTTGCCACTGTCTTTAGTTTCCCAGGACATATCCATCATTGGCAGTATCGGCATTTGCATATGCAGTAATTCGACTCCGTGCTTACTCCTGCCCTTGATGGGGGCAGCTGGGGCATTTGTAACAATGATCTAGCCTGTGTCCTGCCAAGCAAACCAACACCCAGCTCTGGGGACAGGCAAGATAAGCCGGGAAGGAGTTAAGAAACATGCCCTAGCCACAGAGGAGCACCATGATGAAGAACACACTGGCAACACCATGATGAGGACACACCACAGAATTCATTAAAGAAGTCTGTGGGGTCCAAGAGGTTTCTCCAGTGGGGTAATAGTTAAACAGAAGCTCAAGGGAGAGAAGGAACCAGCCAGCTGAATGGAGCTGAGCAGAAAGGAAAATGTCCTAGATAAAGGAAAGAGAAAAAGTATAGAGGCCAGAAAACTGAAAACAGCATGGGCGTTTTAGGAAGAGGTAGGTGAGGAGTGCTTCCTAGATAGAGCCGAGTTGTTCTGGTCATTGAAAGGTTTTGGGCAAAGGACTGATGCTGCCAGTGGCTTCTTGTTTCAGGACAACCCTGGCTTCAGAGAAAGTCTGGACTGGGTAGGGAAGAGGCTGAAGGCAGAGCGAATAAGAGGCTACTGTAGTGACCAAGGCCTAGAATGAGAGAAAGAGAGGGCTGGGGGTGTTATCCAGGCGGTAGAGTGCTGGTGTAGCATGATGCAGGATTAGCTGGGTTTGATTCCTTCGAAAGTACTAGGTGACATGGTGCATGCCTGTTTTCCCAGCACATGGCAGGTAGAGGCGGGAATTCAAGGCCATCCTTGACTATATATCCTATCCGGTTAAAGAAAGATTGTGCCAGGCATTTCCTTTAGCAGCTTTTGTGTGTTTCCATGTGATGGGGGCCTCTTTTCAGCCTTTGCTTACACTAGACCTTTTTGCAACAAGAAACAATTGATCAGTCATTCTTCAGCTTCTAGAACATAACTCTGACAAATTTCTAAAGTCATCTTTAGTTCAAATGAGCATATAATTTTAGAAATGGAAAGCTTCACAGGAAGGCTGGGGTAGTGGTGCATGCCTGAAATCTCAGCACGTGGAGGCTAGATGGTCTAGAGTTCAGACAGGAAGCATGCCTCACTGGAAAAGTGCTTGTTTATCATGTGTGAGGCCCTGGGTTCAATGCTCAGTATTGAAAGATGGGATGGTAAAGACAGAAGGGGGCCTCTTTCCAGCGGGGCTCAGTTTGCTTGTTATTTGGTTTGGTTGCTTGGGTTTTGTTTATTGTTTGTCCTCTGAAGCCACTTGCAGAGCTTCTTTTAGATAGACTCCTTCCATCAGCCTTTTAAGTAATCACATCTCAAGATTGTGTAGCTGTCTTCATGCCATGCCCTGTCTCCCACATTTACAGCCCCCTATTGCCACATGTAAATGAAGAATTATAGATCAGGTTTTGTCTTATTGTTGTTTTTTGTTTTGTTTTGTTTTTTAAACTGGCTACCTCTTAGTTACATCTATCCCCAGAAAAGCTCATCTCAATACCACTTAAAAATAAAGGTAATTTCCTCCTGTCGTCTGTACCAATCCTTTTTTGTGGTATCCACCTCCAGTCACAGCACAAGCCCGTGAGATTAGCTCAGCCACATCATCCCCTTGACCACAGAGTTTAGTCTGTCACCAACACCTTTCAACTCACTCACAGGACTGGCCAGCATCCTGGTTCCCTCATCTGTGTCCCCACATCCACAACTCCATCTCTGCCCGAGCTGTTTCCATAGCTTCCTTCCAAACCTACCATGTCTTCACCATCATGACATCAATAGTTAATTTTCTTAAATTAACAGACTAGAGCAAATGGCTACCAAGCATCATAATCGCTGATCCTTTTTGTGTGCTTCAGAATAAGACTAAACCAAAACTAAAAAAAAGGGGGGCCTCAATATGCACATCAAGTCTTTATTATTAAGTTAATTAATTAATTCACTTTACATCCCACACGTAGCTCCCTTCCTCCTTCTTCCCTCATCACTCCTCCCCTATTCCTCAGGGAGCCCCGCCCCCATCCCAGTTCATCAAGCCGCATCAGGACTGAGTGCATCCTCTTCCACTTAGGCCTGCAGAGGCAGCTCCATCAGGGGGCAGTGATCAACAAGCAGGCAACAGAGTCCATATCAGCGTCAGCCTCTTATTAGGAGACCCACTTGAACCCTGAGCTGCCCATCTGCTAAATCTGTGTAGGGGGCCTAGCACATCAAGCCTTAACCCCACACCAACTCATGTGCTCCACTCATATATAACCACTCATCATGTCCCAAACAAACACTTTGCAACAATCTCCAACTCATGTTAAAAAAAAAAAAAAAAAAATCCTACTCCTCTCACAGGCCATCTCAGATCTCATAAGCTTTCCAATTTTTTCCCTTTTGGCAAATTCAACGTACTCTGTTGATTGCAATTTTCTCTGTTCGAATGGCATCAATGACACCTCCATCTCAGTATGTGTTGACTATAACATCACTGTCTACCTGGTTATCTCGGGAGAAGTTGGGCTTGTCCCGAGCAGAGCTTACGGGCTCTCAGCACCTCCCATAGGCCTCCTGCTTCAGAATGTGTCCTCCTGCTTCAAAGTGTGGGGATATTTATTTCATGGGACCGCTGTATCGTAGTATAGCCGAAATTAATGGGCAGTTAAAAAATAAATTTTTAAATTCATAAAATTAACTAGGAAAATTAATTTACGTTTTCAGGGATCCACTATTATACCCCAGGCTAGTCAGGAGCTTAAAAATCTATTTCAGCATTCCAAATGATAGGATTACAGGCTTCTGTCATCATTCCCAGCCCCAGGAAAATAGATTTTCTTAGATATCTAATATATATGTATAGATAGATACACAGATGCAAACCGCTAGTGTCTGTCTCTTTTTCCATCTGATCTCTTCTTTCCTTCTGCAGTTCTACTTGATTCTCTCTGACTTTATCCTCGCTCTATCTACCGTTCTAATAAACTGTTAGAATATAACTTTCCCAAAATTAGATTTTTCATGGCACTAAGCAGCATCCTGATCAAGGGAAAAACACTAGACTAAAAGTTGAAAGTTTATGAGTTCTAAATCATTATTTTTGGTGGCTTGGAGGAGACTGGTTTTTTTGTTTGTTTGTTTTTGTTTTTCATGTTTGAGATATGGTTTGATGTATCTCAGGCTGGCTTGAAGCTCCCAATGTGATTTAAAAATTTCCTTGATCTTCTGACCTTCCTGGTCCCATCCTGACGTATGGGATTATGGGTGCATCTCTACCCACACCAATACGCAGTATTGGGACTCAAACCCAGGCCTTACCTCATGCTAGGCAGGCACTCTACCAACTAGGCCATACCTTCAGTCCGTAGGTCAGTCATTTTAGTATTAATGTTTATCAACACCTATGTCCCAGGTACTGATCTACGATCCCTAAATAAAAAGTTCTGTGTGCTGAGATAGTCAATTAGAAGAAATGAGAATCAAATGGTAAATAATAAATGTAATAAGTATTTTGAAAGATGCAGATTACAAGTGCTGTTGGCAGAAGGGAATGGAAGATGGTGTATGAACTGAACTTTGAAATGAGAAGACTCCATTGAAAAGAGGAGACTTAAGCAGGGACAGCAAAGGAGTGCCCCATCTGGGGGTCTGTAGGAAGAGTATTCCAGCAAAATACTTTAGCCAAAAGCTAAAGTAATAGCACCAAGCCAGGATGCTATGTAAGGGATGTTTGAAGAAAAGCTGGAAGGATGGTGTGCCTGGAAGTGAGTCACCATCAGGACCTCAGCTTCTACTATGATGGACATGAGCATCCATAGCAGACTTCACCTGAAAGGGAATGACAAGATTTGATTTGTAAACATTTGGCTGTTGCGAAACAAGATTAGAAGCTGGGGGTAGGTCAAGAGTCCATTACAGTGGTCCTGGTAAATGGGGGTAGCTCAAAGCAGGGTGATGGCAGAGATGGGGACAGCCATTGGTTTCTAGATTTCCCCCCCCCTCCAATAAAACAAACAGGCTTTCCTGACAGATCAGGTGTAGATTATTTGGAAAATAATGGAATCACAGAAGACTTTTTTTTCCTGAACCAATGGAAAGGAGTTTTCATTATCCAAGGAGAGGGTGGCTATGAGAAAAACAGGTCTGTGTGAGGGAGGCTTGGGGCTTCGCTTTTGAACTTAAGGTTGAAATACCTATTGGATGGCCAGAGGAACCCATATCCCCTGTTATCCAAGAGCCCATGTGCCCAGACCCCAGCATATGCTTGAAGTGGCAGAGAATACTTGTACACACAATGTTTTCCCCTGTACACTAAAGTTTATTTTATAAATTAGGCATAGTTAGAGGTGAACAAAAACAATTGATAAGAAAATATAAGACTGAAGATGTAGCTCCATTGGTAGAACACTTACCTCCCTAGCACACTTGAGGCCCTAGGTTCGCTGCCCAGGACCTCAGAAAAGCTGGTGTGATAATGCCCTCCTAAAATCTCAGTACTTGGAAGACAGAGGCAGGAGGATCAGAAGTTTAAGATCTTCCTTGGCTGCTACAAAGCAAGTTCTCACCCACCTGGGCTACATGAGACCTGGTCTCAAAAACAAAACAAATATAGAACAATTGTTTAAATGTACTGCAATAAAGGATATATAAACAAGCTCTCTCTCTCTCTCTCTCTCTCTCTCTGTCTGTCTCTCTCTCCATTGTATTTTCACCCTTCATTCAAGGAAAATACATTACAGCTTCTCTCCATGAATCCAATTTCCAGCATTACTAATCTTATTTATTGAGTAAAATAAGGGTTACTTGAACACAGTCACTGAGATACGTGACAAGGGGCTATGGCCTGATTAGTGATGGACAAGGCTATACAGCATAGACTTGAGGGACAAAGGGTGGCTTTTACACCCGTATCCCAGGTGGGTTGGAATGGGAGAGCGTGAGATACCACCATGCCCCTCAGAGAGGTGCAGCACTTAAAATGTATGAGCAGTTTATTTTCCAGAATTTCCCACTTCATGTTCATATAGTGGTTGACTACCACAAGTAACTGACAGAAGGTGAATCCATAGATAAGGGAGATGACTACGTGCCCTGTACACACTGATTTATGAGTCAAGCTTAAGCAAAAAGTCACATCTGGGGTGGGAGTGACCTTGGAAGTCACAAGCATTAAATGGATTTGAAATCACTGAGACTAATAAGATCTTGTATTTCTAGGACAATAAAATGATCTGTTGAGCCTTAACCAAATGTTCCCTGCTTCTTCCTTTCCTCCCTCTGAGACAAGGTTAGGCTAAATCAGTTATTTCTGTCTATGCTCTTGAAGCACTAGTGTTCTACAGATTGGGACCCGAGATGTTTGCTTCCCATTTGCTAAGCCAATAAGTCACCCTGTGCCTGCACAATAGAAAGATGTGTGGCTGGGTGTGGTGATGCACACCTTTAGTCCCACACTGGGAGGCAGAGGCGGGCAGTTCTCCGTGTTTGAAGCCAGCCTAGTCCACAAAGTTCCAGGACAGCCAGAGCTACAGAGAAGCCCTGTCTCAAAAAAGAAAAAAATGACAACAAAAGTACATCTAGAGATGGAGCAAGCTGGCATGGTGATAGGTCAGCCACAGTGAGCAATGTGTGGAGGGAGAGAAACTGTCTAAAAATTAGTTTCTCATTTGAAATATGGCCTCATGCATCTCCTCACGACTGCTCATCACCATCTATCAAGGGGTCTTTCTCAATAATTATGGATTCATACGACTACATGCTTAGGCCCCAAAAAAATGTTCCCCAAAGTCAACCTATGCTCATATTCTCCATAAAACATGGTCTTGAAAAATCAGTTTTAAAAAATGGAATGATCCCACTTCTTTTAGTCTATTGCTTGAATTATTTAAAATTTTCCCTGAACTCTTGAGCAGATTCAATTGTTGATTTAACCATATAAACAGGCATGAAACTCACTGAGGAAGCTGAGGGATTAGGACTGCAGGTTTGAGCACAGACTGTGGTGGGGAGGGAGGAGAGAAGGAAGAAGGAAAGGAGGGAAGCAGGTAAGAAGTCATTGTTATGAGAAGATCTTGGAGATACTAGGTCAGTTTCCTTCCCTTTGCAGTGGATGTCAAAGGTCATGCTGAAACTAGTGCTTAGGTCACCTCTCAACCCCTAGTACTGTGTTCTACCCACCACACTCTACCGAATCCAAGGCTGCTTCAGAGATCCCTCTAGAACTTACGATGAAGGCAGAAAAGCCAAGCATGTTGGCACACACCTGTAATTCCAGCACTTGGGGGGGGGGGGGGTTAAGGCAGGAGGATCAAGAGTTCAAGCTCATCTCTGGCTACATAGGAAGTTCAAGGCCTCTCTGGGCTATGTGAGACCCTGTCTCACGAAACAGAAAAGCGAAAGGACAAAGAAGGCAAAAGTTTTATGAACTACTATATCGCTGTACATGAAATAAAGCATCTTTTTAATTTTTAAATTAAAGCTCAAAAGTTAACAATGTGTGATATGTGATTTTCATCTTCTTTAGGGTATTTGTTGTTGTTGTGATCTCCACGTGTTCTTAACATATTCATTTCATGTCCCTGTATTTCTTGTTTTCGCAGTCCTGAGGGTCATCCTTGCCATTACGTTTTTCCTGGTATCTGGTGTCCTCATGATACTGCTCTTTGCCCTCATCCGCCATGGGCCCTGCTGGCAGAGAGACGTGTATCGAAACATCTGAACAGACAGTGAC